TCACTATTTATAAATCACAATACAATAGGAATTGATTATTAATTGACTGTTTGGCGCAAACGACGAGACGATTGTACGCCACGAGTGGTTCTCTCCATATAGTGGTTGTCGTGGTTGTAGTCTTCATGAGAGCGCATGAGTTTCCCATCCATTCATTCATTCAATGCCATCCTCTGGTGCTCTCACTCTTTGGCAGACAAATGAAAAAACAGTTTCAGAAACGGATTCACCAAAAAAAAAAGTTTGTTTCAACGGCTGATAAAAGTGCCATATATTGCGTGAAAAAGGTGTTTGTGTTATAAATATTAACGCTCACTACTAATAACAATTACATGCTATGTTTTTGCTTATTATCATTATAGTTATTATTTAATAAGAAAAATATAACAAAACACAACAAATCTATTATTAGTGTTACAATAATGATAACTGTGGACAGAAATAACATGCAATCAAATAAATTATTTGCTAAACAAGTGACGAAAAAATATTTTTGTTATGAAAAACAAAACTTAATTTACGTTAAACTTATCGAGTGATCAAAAAAAGGACAAAAACAAAAAGATGAGCAATAATTCGGGTCTATTTGTGGCGTTTAACGACACAAACGTCACCGAAAGTGATGGCAACAAACGTAACGAGAGTTTGGCTATAATGGAGGTGACAGTACTGGCCATCATATTTGTGCTCATAATTGTGGGCAATATGTGTGTATTGATAGCGTTGGCCGTACGGCGCTTCAAAATGAGCCGCATGTATTACTTTCTATTGCACCTGGTCATATCGGACATAATGACCGGGTGCTTTACAGTGATGCCGCAGTTGGCGTGGGATATCACCCACCGCTTCAACGGGGGTAACGTATTGTGTAAGAGTGTGAAATTCATGCAACTCTTCGGACCGTACCTGTCGTCCTATGTGCTGGTGGTGACCGCCATCGACAGGTATCAGGCCATATGTCACCCGCTGTCCAACTGTCGGTGGACTTCGCGCAAGTCTAAGCTCCAGATTACGGCCGCTTATGTCATATCGAGCCTGTGCTCAGCGCCCCAGGCGTTCATCTTCTCCTACCGGGAGATACCCGGCTATAGAGGTGTATACGACTGTTGGGCCACTTTCTCGGCCCTCCCGCCCCCGTGGGGAGAGCGGGCTTACGTCACGTGGTATACGGTGACCGTGTTTTTCATACCGCTCATTATCATCACATATACCTATGTTTACATATGCTATGAGGTGTGGAATAACGTACGCCTCAAACGCCAGACACTGAAACCGGAGATCAGTTTTATTGAGATGAGAAAGAATTGGCTGAAGACAGACAGCGAAGATCACACTAACGCCAAATCCGACAGTTTGGACAATAGTTTTGGCACCAATAGTGATGATAATGGAGTCGGTAGTGGGAAATACGTGGCCACCGGTGGTAGTGGTGGTGGCAATTGTGGTGCCCCCAGAAGTCACTCAATATATCGTATATCCAAAGCCAAGATCAAGACCGTGAAAGTGACGGTAGTTGTCGTCATCTGTTATATCGTGTGCTCGAGTCCTTTCATCTGTGTCCAGGTGTGGGCCAATTGGTGGCCCGGAGCTCAACAGACCTCGTTCTGGACCGGTATGTAATCTATTGTCTAATTTTTTGTTGCAAATGAGTTAAATATTTAAATGGATTTTTCAATTACTGCACAAATGTTTTTAGAAATTTTAATGACTTTTAGTTTTTTCTGTTGTTTTTCTTAAAATACTAATACTTTTATTGATGTATTGATTAAAACTTATGCAAAATATTTTTATAAACGGCTTTTCTCTCTCCCATTACTCTCTGATATCAAAATATTTTCCCATTTTCTTAAAACACAAACGATATTATTTTATGAATTGAAAATTCAGACAAACTGTTGGAGAAGTTATGATTGAATACTCTTTTACTCACTTTTTCCTCTTCTCTCGCGTATAAAAACTTAGAGAAAATATTTTATTCAAACTTAAATTAAGCGTAAATGCCTTTTAACAAATATGATGGCCAGTACTGTCACCTCCATTATAGCCAAACTCTCGTTACGTTTGTTGCCATCACTTTCGGTGACGTTTGTGTCGTTAAACGCCACAAATAGACCCGAATTATTGCTCATCTTTTTTGTTTGTGTTGTTTTTGTCCTTTTTTTTGATCACTCGATAAGTTTAACGTAAATTAAGTTTTGTTTTTCACAACAAAAATATTTTTTCGTCTCTTGTTTAGCAAATAATTTATTTGATTGCATGTTATTTCTGTCCACAGTTATCATTATTGTAACACTAATAATAGATTTGTTGTGTTTTGTTATATTTTTTTTATTAAATAATAACTATAATAATAATAAGGAAAAACATAGCATGTAATTGTTATTAGTAGTGAGCGTTAATATTTATAACACAAACACCTTTTTCACGCAATATATGGCACATTTTTATCAGCCTTTGAAACAAACTTTTTTTTGGTGAATCCGTTTCTGAAACTGTTTTTTCATTTGTCTGCCAAAGAGTGAGAGCACCAGAGGATGGCATTGAATGAATGAATGGATGGGAAACTCATGCGCTCTCATGAAGACTACAACCACGACAACCACTATATGGAGAGAACCACTCGTGGCGTACAATCGTCTCGTCGTTTGCGCCAAACAGTCAATTAATAATCAATTCCTATTGTATTGTGATTTATAAATAGTGATCGGATTTATGAGTGAAAGAGAGAGAGAGAGAGAGAGTTACCAGAATAACATAGTTAAATCCGTGATGATTGCATTTTGCATTAAGTTATAGCAAAACTCATCTCATATTCAGTATTTGGTATTGTTTTTAGTGATTGTGTTGTGTTTAGTGAACGTGACATCCGTTGTATGAAAACTAAAACCTTTAATAAAACGGACAAAACTTTTCGTTTACTATTTTAATATGAAGTCTTCTCTATTCTGGCCGTACTCTCAGGACATCTCTCTCTCTCTCTCCCTCTCTCCCTCTCTCTCTCTCTCTCTCTCTCTCACTCACTCACTTACTCTCTCACTACTGTATATATTGGCTCTATTGCTAAATAAACTGTTCGAGCGATCAATAATTTGTTTGTGAATCACCAGAAATATATTGTGAAGGATAGAGAAAAATAGATTTTCTTATATAAATCTCTTCTCACGTTATGTCTCTCTCTCTCTCTCTCTCTCTGAGAGATCAAACCAGAATATAGTGAATATATGATTAGATATAACTGTATACACAAACAGTGTATAAATATATAATATACTGTGACTGAATATTTTGGGCATTAAATTCAATGGATTTTCATACAAAGTCATGGAATATAAATATTACTATAAAAATCCTTAAATTTATTAAAAAGATAAAGTTTAAAATATATAAATTGAGTTATTATAGTGTTATTTATGTCTTAAGCTTATTTATAACTTAATAATTTAAATGCATGGAAATTCTGTATCCCTGGCCAAAAATAATATGAAAGAATTTAATTATATCTACTGTTTATTATGAATTTACTCGTAAGTTATATTAACTGTGAATTTAATGTTTTAATGTATTAAAACTCTTAATAAGAATATGACATTTATTATTTATTTTTTGATTCAGAATTACGAGACATATTTTTAATGATATAAAACATGGTATAAAAAACAGAATTTATCAATTTATTTCATGTATAATATTCTTGAGTTTCACGAAAAAGCTATTTTCTAAAGCATTCAATAATAACAATCATATTGTGTTGAATTCTATCAAATAAAATGATTGGTTTGCATATTCTTTGACAACTGATATCATCACAAAAGTAATCTCTCTCTCTCTCTCTCTCTCTCATAAATCCGATCACTATTTATAAATCACAATACAATAGGAATTGATTATTAATTGACTG